GGGTCCAGAGAGGAGACACAGAAAAGGACAGTCAGATGTACATGTCACAGGGGTCCAGAGGAGACAAAGAAAAGGAACATAAAACTTCTCAGAGAAATAATGGGCCAAAATTTCCCAAATTTTATCAAAACTAACAACTTACAGATTCAAGAAGCTCAATAAATCTCCAGCACAAGAAACATGAAGAAAACTGTATTAAGGTAAAGTGTAATCAAACTGCTTATACAACCAGTGGCAGAAGACTCTCGTACGCAGCTACAGAGAAGAGGCTCTGGATAACAGCAGACTTCTTGTGAGGAACAATGCTCGCTGAGACGCTGAAGCAACATTTTCACGTTTTTAAGACAAAAATCAAGCACATAAAATTCTTTACCTAGTGAAAGTATCTTTCAAAAAACAGAAGTGAAAATAAACCTTTTTAGATATGCCAAAGCTAAAAGAGTTTATCACCAGCAAACACAATAAAAATGTAAGCGGCTCAGAGCCTGCAGCTCAGTGGCCAGGGCGCCAGCCACATACATTGGGGCTGGGAGGTTCAAATCCAGCGCGGACCTGCCAAACAACAATGACAACGACAACCAGAAAATAGCTGGGCATTGTGGAAAGCACCTGTAGTCCTGGCTACTTGGGAGGCTGAGGTAAGAGAATAGCTTAAGTCCAAGAGTTTGAGGTTGCTGTGAGCTGTGATGCCACATCACTCTCCCCAGAGCGACATAGTGAGACTCTGTCTCAAAAAAAAAAAAAAGTAAAAGAGTATCTTCCAAAAAGAAGGAAATGATACCAGCTGGAAATCTGGATCCATGGTGAAGGAATGAACAGCACTGGAATGTTAGGTAATGCTCATCTATGTGAAGAACAGAGACCGGGTACAGTGGCTCACATCTGTAACTCCAGCACTTCAGGAAGCCAGTGTGGGAAGACTGCTTGAGACCAAGACTTTTAGACTAACCTAAGCAACAAAGTAAGTCCTGTCACTACAAAAAATAAAAATAAAAAGTAAGTCAGCATGATGACACCCCTGTAGTCCCAGCTACTCAAAAGGCTAAGGGAGGAAAACTGCCTGAGCCTAGGTTCAAGGGTAAGGTTAGCTATGGCCACATCACTGCACTCCAGCCAGGGTGACAGAGTGAGCTGTGGCCACATCACTGCACTCCAGCCAGGGTGACAGAGTGAGCTGTGGCCACAT